GAGAGAGAGAGAGACCAGAGGGAAGCTGCAGCGAGAGAGAGAGAGAGAGAAGAGAGGAAGCTGCAGTAAATACACATAAACAAACCACAGCACATCACACATACAGCCACGCAGCCACATACTGTGGGCATAAACATAATGTTCTCTGTATTTCTACTTGTTAGTTTCACATTAGAAACAAAAGCTAAACACCAAAGGCTCCGGCGCCACAGAAAAAAAAAAACCCTCACAAAACCTGCATTTGAAGAAGAGCAACAACCATGTCCATGGATGAACATAAATCAATCCTGACCTTTGCAGTTTTGCCACCATTACTCCAGGGAGTGATCCACTCTGCCGTTCCCAGCAACCAATGACTCAATTCCACCTCATCTGTCTTTGGCACTTATCGACAAACGAGTTAAGAGGAGGCTTTACCACCACCGTACAAACAGAGGAAACAACAGAGAAATAGAAATCTCTTTGACATTGTCTTTTAATTTCAGTTTTTAATGTGTGTGCCGCCGCTAAATTAAATTAAAATCACTGAGCTGAAGGGGTAAACAGCAGCAGAAATCCAGGACAGAATGCCCATGCATTTGTCATTGCTGCCAACTGCACAGTCAGTATGTTTACGATTTATTTCTTACATGCCTCGTCAGTGTGTGTGTTTTCACAAATACACTAAATTTGAGACATTTTCAAAAATGGCCACCTGTTGTCTTGTTTACTTCCTGTATGTTTACGGGCCCCGCCTACATTTCCCCATCTCTTTTGTAGTAGGTCCTGCAGCATATTGTTTGACAGAAGAGTTTTTTTTGTTTTTTTTTTAGTATGTTTGTTTTCTGTTTTCTATTTTATGAATTTCCACTTTTTAGAAAATGTTTGTTTTATATATATATATACAATAAAATAAGTTAAGTGCAGTGGTCAGATCATAAACTTTCTTTCAACCAGAAAACCCTAATTAGCAGTAGGACTCCAGTTAATAAACAGTATGGCTAATTTAACTGGAGCAGGGATATATATCATATATTTATCATCTATGGCCTGAGAACAAATATCTATAATTTCAGTGTAAACAGAACAATCTGCCTCACCAGTTTACTGCATTATTTGTTTGCACATTTCACACAGCATGGCTAGTGGAAAACATTAACGATGAAAAGTAAGCGCTGGATATTCGCGATATGAAAGTAGCAATTAGCTGAAAGTGTAAGTACTGGTAGAAGTCAACACATTTTTAATCCAAAAATGATATGGTTAAAATGTTTAAAGTGAATGTTTGAAGAACTAAAAAACAGAATCATTTTTGTTTTATTTGGAGTTCATGGCCACAGTCTGAGTTTTGACAGTTTTGTCATCATCTGTCACTTCATAGAGACAAACACTACGAGGTTCAGACTAATCTGAGTTAATCCCTAAATTATCAGGTCAACAAGCACAGCTGACCTACACACACACACAAATTCCAATCAAGCAGTGACAGGAGTGGATAAATACACACCTGACCCAACTCTCTCAACCTCTCTTTAATGGCGATCACCCCCCCCCCCCCCAGCCCCTAACAACCACACACACACACACACCATCAGTTTGTTCAAATGTAACCAACCAGTTTCTGAGGCCGTCAGTTCAACACCTGACACTCTCAGGTGTTTCTGCCACAGTCTCGGTGGACGACAGTTTTCTGTGGAGAGTTCAATGTCTCAGCTGTTACAACAACAGCCAGAAAACACGGACCCAGACCCGAGATGAAAAACTGGGAAAACTTTAAATGTGCCTTCCTTCAACAGTTCTAACCTCCCTCCTGTTTCTTCATTTGTTTATAATAGCTTAGGCCATGTTCTTCAATACAGTTTCCTTGGCTTTTTTTTTTTATTCAGAGGTGTTGACACAGAACCGGATCACTAACTTCTTTACTTAACCATTTCAAATTGTGATTTATCACGATTAATAATGAATATTTATATATTTTAATCAAATAACATCCCTAAAAAAATACAAAAAAGAAAAGGTATGCAATTATCACACTGCTCTACCAAAATCTACATCCTGTTTCTTCATTTGTTTATCATAGCTTAGGCCATGTTCTTCAATACAGTTTCCTTGGCTTTTTTTTTTTATTCAGAGGTGTTGACACAGAACCGGGTCGACATAATAATGTTCCTGGAATCACTACTGACACAGACCTATTTTCATTGCATTCAAATTTCCCACAAACAACTCCCATTCATTACAGGCTGCACTCTCCAGTGTTTTCTCTACTGGGCAGTTGTACAAAAGTGCATAACATTGTTGCACAAAGGGCTTTTCAGTGAAACACAAGACTGGAGTGCACACCGAACGGCTGTAAAGACTAAATAAATGCTACATAAATAAAAACAATTTAACATAAAATATATTTCTTTGCACTGTCTGGGTGTACTGCAAGTATCACAGCAGTACAGACAGCAGGCTATAAGACAACCATAAACGATTCATTAGTTAATTTAACAGAAATCTCACCATTAAAATTTCAAATCATCATATGGATATACAACAAAAATATTGTCAATATAATAATTGCACAAGAACCTGATCATGGTTTCAGTCCAAAAATCACATTTCTTGCAGTACAAATTCCATTACTACTGTACTTAAACACTTTGTTTTGTTTGTTTGTTTGTTACTGCTGCTTTCAGTCAGAAAAATCACATTTCTTGCAGTACAAATTTCATTAGTACTGTACTTAAAGACTGTTTACATTTTATTTCTTGTTTGTTTGTTGTCTGCTGCTTTCAGTCACTATTTTGTTCAGCTAATAAAAACAAAAACACAACCAATACTAATGTGGTCAAAGTGCTGCAGTAACTTCCAGTCTACTGCACAGATCACCCAGAGGAATCACTGTGTTATCCAAAGCTGTTTGTATGAGTTTACAGCAGCAATAATAAAAAACAAAAGCTGTTAAATTGACAGGACTATTACTCTAACAAACAAACAAACAACAACAATATTCAACCACAATATAATATGCACATGATTCACTAGAATATAGTGCAAGAGGGAAGTGATACATGTATAATAAATTGCTAAACTGAATGTAAAAAAGTGCAATGTAACTCAGTTATGTGTTGAGATTTATATTTATTTTTATTTATGTTATAGAAATGATGGTGTAAAATGCCAATTAAAAACTACTAAGACACAGCCCTTAACAAAATCTGACTGCTTGTTGCCAAATGTCCTCAGGGACATTAAGCCCATGTTCTTTAAGATGGAGAGAGAATTAAATTATTTTGTGGATCAATTTTCCCATAATCGCCCCCAACTGTGATCCATTATTACAACTGCTGAGGAACAGGAGGAAAGCCATTCTCTATCACAGTGGGACTGAAAGTGTTCAATAGACATAATTTCAGGTGTCGTCAAATACGGGTTCCACTAATGAGTTGTTGAACTATGTGAAACCACCGTGTTTAAAGATCATTTCTACTTACGGACAGTCTGTACATCATCACACCACAAGTCTTTAACAGGTAAGCTCAGATACGGGCAAGCTACGGCCCGGGGTCCAGATGCAACCCGTTTGTCTTTTTAATCTGGCTCACCAAACTCGTCCAAATTATGTTATTTATTTCTATTTTCATTATATTTCTGTCTTTCCTCTGCAGTGCTTGCATTTCCCCAATAGATGGCACAGAAAAAGCTAAAAGCATTTTAGCATTTTAGCCTTTACTTTTACATGTCCTTTGTTTTGGTTCATGCGAACGCTCCAACGATCTGCCCCTGACCCGGGCCCACGTCAAATTTTAGGACCCATTGCGGCCCGCAAGTCAAAAAGTTTGCCCACGCCAGGGTTAGCAAATAAGTCACTTAAACGCACCTTCAAGAAGATATGGATATATTAATGCATGCACAAAAAATGCCAGTGTTATGCACAGTTTTAATCAGTTAACGCTCTCCCTCTCTCTGTCCATCCACATTCTTTCACCATTACATAGAATTTTACTGCATTCACATGTCAGTGTTCTAATCACTGCTGGATGGATGGGTGTAATTGGCAACTCCCTGCTGTGCATGCATGCAGACACACAGAGAGGAGGACACAGAACATATCATTTACGTCTTAACGTGTTAAGTATCACTTTTGTGCGTGGTGCTATTATTTGCTCATTCACCTAAAAATAAACCACAGGGTAAAAATCCTTCTGGAGAAACACGTCTAATGAAGACGTGCTGTTAAAGCATCGCACCTCACTTCTCTGTGGTTGAGGTTTATAGGCCAATTATATAGAAGGTGTTGTGACACCTCCCACTCCATTATGAGAATCTGAAAATGTATTAAATACAATTGTTGCAGAGAATAAAAACATATACTTTAGATGAATAAAAAATAAAAACATATCAAGGCCACGGTTAAAAAGGAAGCATAAGGACAAAAAAAGAAAAGAAAAGAAAAGATATTATAATTGTTTACCATTAAAATCGATGAATAAACATGATTAACAAGGCCAAAAATACAAGGAAAGATCCATTAATGTAACATAATATTCAAATAAATGAAGAAAGACTGAGACAAAGACATACTGAGGTTAAAACATTTAACATTCATCCAGTGTAAAAGGTTAACAATAACCAATGAATTAACTTATTTATATTGACCTTTTCTAATATGCAGTATTTCTTTTCACACCTGTGTTTGTTATGATAATTGAGCTGATGTGATTCAG